CCACATGCTATTATCTCCCTAGTCTCCCTGTGACAAGCTTTCTGTCACACCGGTTTCACATGTGCAGACACCCACCATGAAGAGCAGACTATGTTTGTCTTCTCTTAGTATATCCTGTATAGACATTGTTTGGGGGTCAATCCTCCCTCACCTTAACCAAAATTACGATTTATTTCATTAAAAGCTTGATTCCTGTGGATTCAGTAACACATTACTGAATTCAAATCAAAAATACCTTTCCTGAGAAGCTATCATGGTGGCTGTCAGAGATGTAACTTTAATTGAATTGAATTTCCCTTGAGAGTAAAACCTTCCATACCCTTACCCAGAGAAGCAAAATGATGTGCCCTTTCTCCCTAGAATAGCCTCGGGATGGCACTGTGGAGGACTAGCGGATTGGGTGACTAACATTCGTAGGACTAGAGTGTCTTGGGGAAGGATGTAATTTTAAACGGATTTTAGTCTCATTAACTTCATTTGACAGACACACAGCTATGTGCACACGGAGCGTCTGTCATGAGAGTCTTCTGCTTTCTCAGAAGTGGAACTAGTTTTGATGACTAATGTTGGGGGTGTCCTCTACATTTCCAGCTCTTAGCTAAGCACTTTTATAGGGGGTCAACCCATCAGACTCATTTAATCCCTTTGCCTCTGCCTTCTCTACCTAACCCTGAGTTTGAACCTCTTTAAGGTAGGCTCTCCTGTTGTACAAATGTTTATCTGAAGATCCCCAGAGACTAAGCTACTTGGAATCAAATCTACCCAGCATGCTTGAGGCTTGGGTGTGCAAAATCTTCCCAACCACTTCATCTGCACAGAGACTTGGATCTTTGTACTTCCCTCTCTCTCATCAGTGACTGTCCAATTCAAGATCTACCGGGAATCCCATGATACTAAGTACTGCTGCAAACTTGAGATCAGGTATCTTGCCTTTTGAAAACTTGTCTTTTTTCCCCATTACTAAGTGAAATAAGGTAACACAGGCCATGAAATAAAATTTGGACTAATGAGAAGCTATTTGGTGAACGGAAATCCATCTTGATACCTCTTAAATTATGTCTCTAAAACCCCAATGTCCATATCCTCATCTATGACTAAGAGCGACCTTTATAGAGAATATCGGCTTCTTTGCTCTCTGCCCCTGCAGCTGTTGACAGCCATTTCAAATGAGGAGGAAAAAGAAAAAGCACCGTGCCTGCTGTGTCATGGAAGTGAGTCACAGGGCTGATGAAGAACGAATCTGCGTGCAAATGGCCATTATATTTAGAATAATCTATCTCCCGTCATAGAGAATGTGTGGACAGAAATGTTATTACAGAAATCACATTCTTTAATGTATGGTCAGAATTGTGCAAAGCAGAGCATTTTAGCAAGATTATAAGAGAAGACTATATCAGAGATGAAATGATATTTTAAATGTGATTGAGCATCCTGCAATTGACTTTCATGTTGGGAATTTTCTGCATATTGCACATAAGTATATGCCCATTTAGGGGAAGTAATTTATTTGTATTTCTCATCATTCCCTGTAGTTTTTATTTTGTTTTACATTTATCTTAAGTACTTATGATTATTCTTTAAATTCACTTGGAATGCATTTAGAAAAAAAGTCTTCTGCCCTATGACATCATCGATTTGAGAGATTTTTATAAAGCACTGCTAACTAGAGATGATTGGTAATGTTGAAATATTAATCACATTATCCAAAGTGACAGGTTTATTCAGGCAGGCTGAACATTCCAAGAATGACTAAGATCTGTGTACTTATTATACGATAACATAACTGAATAATTGGATCCTCAGTGGGCACTGCAGCCAGGGAAAATATTTCTTTTAAATTCTGGAACAGTCTTCATAGTTGGATGCTTTTCTTATTTATGATAGGATATCAACATGCATTAATTAAATCATCCTATTATCTCAGTGTGCTCATGATGTTTGCATAATTAATAAAATGATAAAAATGGAAAAATATCAAGTGGATTAGATTGACCAAATGATATGTAAAGTCATTATTCATGACAACATCTAACTTATTTGTCATGTACTCTTTTCTTCCTTCTGAGTTTTGAAAATTGATTCACTTTCAAAATATCTTTCATCAGTAGAACACACCATATACATTTCTATTTTAATGATTCTTTTTTAGTTTCTAAAAATTAGCTTGGTTTTTATTTTATGGGTGTGCTGGCTGCATGCATGTCTGTGCGCCATGTGTGTGGTGCTTCCAGAGGCAGGGAAGGACACTGGATTCTCTGGATTTGGATAACAGATGGTTGTGACCCTCCATGTGGGTGCTAGGACTTGAACCCTGATCCTCTGGAAGAACAAGCACTGCTCTCAACTTCTGAGCCATCTCTTTGATCCCAAATATGTCTTACAATGTCTAAACTAGTTTTAAAAACCCAGACTGCAAGAACAGTCTTTATTTAAAGGCATTTGAGAGCACTGTCGAGGTGTGGCCAGAACCGTCATCAATGGGTATAAGCTGACTTTCTTTAGATGTGTGCCTTCTGAATTCAGAGAGCCCAGGAGGGAGGCGATAATGGAGGCTAGAAACCAGCAGCTTCAATGACAGCATGTGTTGATCAGTCATTCATTCATTCACTCATTGAAGAGACAATTTATACATGAGATCCTGCATTCTGTTAAGCATGGGAGATCCATCCTTGAAGAAGGCAGATGCAGACCTTTCTCTCACGGAGTCCAGAATAGAATGAAGCAGAAATAATAGAGTATAAGCAACTTTATAGAACCTTTTCTACACCATACCCATTAATGAGTAGATACCAGATTCATTTACATTGTTGCAATTTTCCTTGTTGGTCTTCATGATGCTGTGTGATTCCATTTACACACACACACACACACATACACACACACACACACACTGACAGGTGCTGCAGGCAGGGTACTGGTAACTCTAGGTCAGGGAGTACAGAACATCAGCTATGCTTCCCGACAGTCTCCTGCATTTTGCTGTGGCTGTAGAAAATTGACTGTCTTGGCAATCAATGTTTCTTAGAGGGCTTCGTGCAGAAAAAGGTCATGGTTAGACTAGTCTTGTGGTAGATCTTACTAACATCTTTAATTACAATGGAATAGGTTAGTGTTTGTTTTTTTCTAATGTTAAATTACAGTTAAAAGCACAAAGAAAGTTGACCAAAAATTATCTTCCAGAAAAAAAAAAAAGCCTAAAGCGTAAACCTGTCTGCACCTCTTGGATAATTAGAAATTAGAATAAGCTTTTTGAAGGCTAATAAAATTGGGTTTCAGAAAAACAACTAGAAATTCTGAGAAGTAAAAAAACAATATTTTGAATTGGTAACTATTACTAGTTATTTTAGCTTTTAACAAGTAAAATATTTAATGTTTTCCTCATATTCTATACTGTGGTGGGTTTTGGATATGGCTAGAATAAAACAGATAACGATGCTTCCTCTCATAAACTTTGAGTCTGTGCATTCTGAGTCTGGAGGTGACTAGGCATTGAATGTGGGGCCTGATTCACGTGGGGTTAGTATTCCACGACCAATCTTCATTGACCCCTTCCTTTTATCGTGAGGCTGGTCTGAGGGAGCTGTGGAGGCTGCTAGCTCTGAACTCATTCTGTACCACAGGTAGTTCATGAATATGCAATCTTTCTACCTCTGTCTGCTAAGTATCTAAGATTCCAGGCCTGTTTTCCCAAGCCCAGCTAAGATGTACTACCTTCAATGAATTTGTGCTAGGCTATGTAAGCTTTGTGCGTTGAAATGGCCTGCTTGTCTTCCTTTTCCAATCATAAAGTCTTTAGCTACTGGAGTCACTTATTCCCCATTTCTCTGTCTGCATTGCCTCATTCCCTCAGGGATAATGTTCCCATCTGTCCTGGGAGCAAGCCCGATGTGCACGACAAGAACCTCAGTGCCAGCAGCTCGCAGCCCAGTTTCTCTTGCTCTGGCTCCAGTACTGTGAATCTTTTTGTTGTTGTTGTTTTGGTTTTTTTCGAGACAGAGTTTCTCTGTATTGTTTTGGAGGCTGTCCTGGAACTCTATCTGTAGACCAGGCGGCCCTCGAACTCACAGAGATTCTCCTGCCTCTGCCTCCCGAGTGCTGGGATTAAAGGTGTGTGCCACCAAGGCCCAGCCAGTACTGTGAGTCTCATTGACTGTGGTTTTTCACTTTTGCTTCGGTAGTTAGTACCGGAACCTGATGCAGCGGCCCCTCCTGCCAACCCCTACACCAACGTCAGTCTTTCTTTGCTCTCTGCTGGGATGCTGTATGCCACCCCAATACCACAGGAGTGATTGGTGGTTTTGCCAGCAATTGCAGTGCAAATTTCTATCTGTCAGATACTAGCCTTGTCCTTAGGCCTGTCTCGCATTACTTATTTGTTATTTGGACTTTCTGCTGTAAACACATTTTAATTTTGGATCTGCCTTCTATGCTTATATGTCAGCAGGACCGTCGGAAGCAATAGTTATGAATCCAAACTATTGACAGAGGCTGTCTAATAACTTTTACTGCGTGCGCATGTGTTGTTGGTGTAGACATGGTTGGTGTGCCTCTGTGCGGTAGCAAGATATTGGCATTGGGAGTTTTCTCAATTGCCCTCAGTTTACATGGCAAGGCTGAGTTTTTCACATGAATCCAGAGATTGCCAATTTGGCCAGTTTAATTATCTAGCTTGTTCTGGGATTCCTGTGTCTAGGCTTTACAGGCAGATCACCTTGTGCGGTGATATCTTGCTTGAACAAATAAAGCTGTCTGAGGGTCAGAGAATGGAACTTGCTACTAGCAAACCACAGAAGTTTGGAGGTCTGTACAGACAGACAGGAAGTGAGGTAGCTGGGCGGAAACAGGACATAGGCTGGGACTGGCTCGCTTGTCTGCTGAGATGCTAAGCAGGTAAGGCGTGGCAGTGGTTGGTTTGCTCCTTATCTCTGATCTCTCAGCAATTTCCCTCTATATATGACTCCAGGTTTTTATTGCTTAGACCAACTAAGAACTCATTTTGCATACTGACTTGGCAGGGGAGATACCATGATCACGAAGGCGGTTTTCCCAGGGCGAGGCTTATCCATCGCACTTCGAGGTGCTGCCATTTCCTCAAGTGAGGGAAACTCGACTGCATAATTTGTGGTAGTGCGGGACTGCATTTGAACTCTCCCCTGAGGTGGTCGGGAGATTCCTTTTTACAACCATGTCCACTTGGGATTCTGTGGGTGCTAAGGCTCTGAATGCCTATACTCACGCTTGCATGGTACACACCTTGTGCAATAAGCCTCTCGCCAGCCTCGTGATAACTTAAACCACTTTTTGTAGTCCAGATTTTCTTAATTTCAAGTACTTAAACTGCATTTATACACTATTAACTTTATATAGTACCAACGGGCATGAGAGATGTTTGTATGTTTGAGAGTCTAAGAAAGGGGAAATCTCTTTTGGGGGAACTGGACGGGGGGGGGGTGCCACTGAACATGAGAAGAATAGACAAGACAATGAGATTCTGGACGCCATGGGAAAAGAAGTGACGTGTTCTGGACTTAAATGAATGGAAACAATGACAAATGAGGACGGGGAAGACTCTCCAGCCTGAGGAGAAAGTTAGGAATGGCAGTGGAAGGGGAGATGGAATAACAAGTCTTAGGGTGTGGCACACTAGGGAGACTTTACATTGGCTGTTGTGTGTTAGCTATGGAGAAAAGGTTCATTTGCTCGGGTTTTCAGAGGTTTCAGCCCCTTTTGCTTCTGGCCTGTGGTCAAACTGAAGTGCTCACTCACTTCTGGTATATAGGGAACAGAAAGACACACAGGTCAATGACACGATCCCATTTTCTCAAAACAGGCCCCACCTCTTAGTCTACACTCATCAACGTATTCACACATGGATACCCTTAGCTCCTCATGGTGAGATCTCCTCTCAAAACTGTTACCACCTGCATGCCAGGCTGTCAACACACAAGCCCTTTTGAAGGACATTTTTCCAATCCAAGGCCCTCTAGAAGTCTTTTGGAAAATTGAGTTGATCAAAATAAAGCCAATCTATATGAGGACCTAAAAACCATGCAGACATTTTATTTATCACACAGAGACAGTGTGAGGTTGACATTGCTGGTGGTGTGGAAAAATGAATCAATTGGTGATAGATGGAGTATGGGTTTAATTCTTTATACATGACTGTATTCAAACCTCATGTCCACCTCAGCGTTCATTGTGAACAAAATGAGGAAAAGGTGTCAAGGAATAACAACAGCAAAACTATTAAATTATGTTCAGGCATTAAAAATCCATTAGTTATTTCTATTTTTGGCATGCCAGAGAGGTTTTTTTTTTAAATCCTCTTGGCAAAAAACAAAAACAAAACAAAAAACTAGCTGCCTTCTGCATTTTGTTCCCACAATTCTTCAGTGTTTGATGACAACATTTCACATGAGAAAGAATAACAGGATGCACAATCAGACATTTTCATAAAATTCTTCAATATTCTCCAACCAACCTCTTTAATATCAGAGACCTTATTATTATACAGCGATACTCTTCCTGCTTGAGGAACAGATAATTTCTTAACCGTATTCAAGAAACAGGACTGAATCTATTGGATTTTTTTGAGTCTGACATGTCTCTTGCAGCTCTATAAGGTCAAATATTATTGGCTTGATTTGTGTGACTCAGATGTTAGAGGGTAGTATAAAAACTGATCATAATTTCATTGAAACTTATGACAAGGAAGGAAGGAAAAGGGGAATTGTCAATTAAGATTTGAAGAACATCTTTGTTTATGGTCGCTCATCTTTTAAAAGGTTATTTTGTTTTATTTTTAAAGTTAGAGAACATTAACCACCTGTGTTTCCTTTAAAATAATGAAATTAGGGCTTTGAAGGAAATAATGTTAATGTTTCTACATGTACTGAAGTAAAAACTTTCACTCTCTCTGGAGAAAGGTGAAGGAAACTAATTCCTACTGGCCAGCACGCCACCCTTTGTGATGCGGTGGTGACCAATAGGTTCTCTCCAGTGATCAGAACATATTTCACATCATGGCTGCTCTCTCACATTCCCAAATGACCAAGGTCAAATGTTTGTGCAAGCATCCAACAAGAGCCACATTTCCACATTAGAATATTAATATGTAAAACCCATGAGAGGCACTGAAATGGCTTGCTCTGGGAAGAAAATTAAATATGTAAAATCTCTTCTGGGAACAGAACAGGAAAAAAAAGCAATAACTAAAAGACAGGCTTTCTGAATAGATATCAGAAGAAACAAATCTCCTTTGCAAATTAATACAACCCGGCAGTTTATGCATTGTAGTCTCTTTGGAGATATGGCAAAGTAAGTTGAGCAGCAGCTGTGCCTAAGATGGACAAGAGTTCTTCTTTTGAATATCCTATTGGTAGTAGGGGAGAAGAAAATAAATACAATGTTAAGGTTGGTCAGATGAACTCCTTTTATAGGAATACTGTAGGGGAAAGATTTGTACAGCCACTCAACTCCAAGGCTACTTAATGAACTTTGGAGTTTATTTCAGGGTGTCTGTTTTGGTGGTAAAATATTTTTTTAAGGGCTAAGTGATGATTTTCTAAATCATCACTCTTGTAAGATGGATAGGAAAATTTAAGAGTGAGGAAAATTGTGACATGACACATCTTATATTCCTTACTATTCTCCAAGCTTCATCATAGATCACCATTTCCTTCCAGTTCTCCCAATAGTGATTTATACATATTAGATGTCCAGCTTCTCTTGTTTAAAGAATGAATCTTAATGATGACATGAAATACTCTTTTTTTAAAATTTATTTATTCATTATGTATACAGTTTTCTGTCTGCATGCCAGAAGAGAGCATCAGATCTCATTATAGATGGTTGTGAACTACCATGTGGTTGCTGGGAATTGAACTCAGGACCTCTGGAAGAGCAGCCAGTGCTCTTAACCTCTGTGCCATCTCTCCAGCCCAACATGAAATATTCTTAATAAAGTTCTTATCTAGCCGGGCGTTGGTGGCGCACGCCTTTAATCCCAGCACTCGGGAGGCAGAGGCAGTCGGATCACTGTGAGTTCGAGACCAGCCTGGTCTGCCGAGCGAGTTCCAGGACAGCCTCCAAAGCCACAGAGAAACCCTGTCTCGAAAAACCAAAAAAAAAAAAAAAAGTTCTTATCTATAAAACAACATGGTCAGTGTTTAGTATATTTTTATGAGAATGATCCTGTACTGAAAATGCTCAATATTTTTCTAAAATTCTCATTATAAAAATAGCATAGGGAACCATATTTTATCAGGAGAGAGAGAGAGATTGAACATTATTCTATTTTAGTGTCAACATTTGTTTTCCCAACCTGCTGCAAAGCAATGGATGTAGCAACTCCTAGTTAAAGCGAAACAGTAGGTGTGTGCTGGTGTTTTACATCCTAACACAGCATCTGACCCCATGGGATGGGGATCTCAAATGCATCCAGTGTGTTATCTGTATCCATGATGCTTCCTGTCTAATGGAGACTGGCAGTTAGCCATGGCACATGTAGTCAGTACCACAGTGGTGATATGAGCCAAGAGCTCTGGTTCAGTAAGGAAAGACCAGTGCAGTAATGGAAAGAAGAGGCGGCAGGAACGCCAGGCCACTCCGACTCTAATGAAAGAACAGCGTCTCGTGTGAGCTGGAGGCCAACACACACACAAAATCTGCAGACCGCTACTGTCATTAATTCTCACCGAAGAAAGCATATCAAGGTACTTCTCCCATAGTACTTCATGTTTACCACACTGAATTCACCATGCTCGTGCTGATGTGAAAGCATGAACTACGTTTAGTACTACTGCATTCAGTAATAGAAACATAGTCCCCATTTCACCATAGTGTTGCTCACTGCTTTTCAGATTCTTGGCCAACTCCACTCTAATAATATATATTTTGATAACAGCTATTAATACAATAATGTATCATACCCTCCAGGGACTAAACTATTCCCACAGCAAGCACAGAGATATCACCAGGAATGAGAGGTCTCCTGTGACCTGATTTGACATGAGAGTTGAATGTAGTTTTGCTCAAGAAACAAGCGTTCCATGTTTCACAGTTCCTTGTCCACTTCTCTTCAGCCTCCAGAGAGAACACACACTGTTCTGCCTTCTTGTAAATGTGCAGTGACCGTTCTACAGGCAGCTTTGGCTATTTTTTGTTGTTGTTGGTTTTTTGTTTTGTTTTTGTTTTTGTTTTTTGTTGTTTTGCTACTGCCTTCTTAAATTCTCCACCAATGTAACAGCAACCTTCAGGCATCCTTGCTAAAGTATTTGACAGCTCTAGACTGGTCTGTATGTCAGGTGTTTGGAGTTAACCAAGGAAGAAGGAAGAAGATATAGATCCACAAAGAGGAGTGATATACGACAGGCTACCTTGACCAAGGTCACTTGAGAAAAACCCTTTTATAGCAAGAGTCTGTGCTACAGATCTGGAAGATACCTTCCAAAATAGAAGGTGAACAAGGGCACTCTCTGGAGGGGATAGGGGCTGCTGTCCTGTTTCTTTTTGTTTGTTTGCTTTAGTTTATTGTTTCTTGTGTTTTTGTTTGTTTTGTTTTTGGTCAGTTCAACAGAAGCTGGGTAGGTGGAACTCGACTGAGACATTTCCTCCATCGGACAGGCTGTATGGCCCGTAGACAAGTCTGTAGAGCACTTTCTTGAGTACCGATTCATGTGAGAGGGTCCAGCTCACTGTGGACGGTACCAGTGCCGGCAGAAGACCCTGAGTAATCCACAGGCGACTAGCCTGTGAGTAGCACCCTCCACGGCCTTTGCCTCCAGGTTCCTGCCTGAGTTCCAGCATGGCTTCTGTCAGGGACAGACTAAAAGCTGTAAGATGAAACAAACCCTTTCTCACAAGTTGCTTTTGGTCGTGGCAGCAATAGAATCCCTAACTAAGACAGGTGCGAATGTGTCTAGATGATGTTTCTCAGAGGCACCATGGACAACTTCTAGGTCAGGGAGTTCCAAAGGACAAGCCATTGGACTCTGCAAGCCACAAGGCTGAACTTAACAGCCAACAGCTTCTGGGTGGAGCTTCTCAGAGAATGACACATGAGGACCTTGGATGTTGTGGTCTCCTTGTTTGGGCTGTGTGTTTTTATTGCAGTAAAAATATATCTCACCTGGAATCTATCCACCAAACCCTATGT